TTGAGAGACTTTAGGAAAGTCCTAAGCATGAGGCTTGAGAGGCCACTTGCACAGAAAAGCCCCTGGAAATGGCCTAGATGGGCTTGCAGGTAGGGAGGGGTGGGGCCTCCAGGAATCACCTGGGCGGAGCCAAAGGTGTGAGTCAGGTGCTGGCAATTCAAATATGGCACCTGCCTGCCTGCTATGTGGTGGGAAGGCTCACCAAAGGAGCAATGGCCTCTGCCAGCTCTTCTGCCTAGGAGAAAGCTGTACCTCCACCTCGCCCCAATTTCAGGCAGGTTAGTTCCTCCCCAAGTGTCCCAGGTTCCTTTCAAGCTGCTGCCCTGCGCTGGGGCTCAGAGGGAGCGCATCTGAGTGAGTCCGTGCGCGGGCCCTTTAAGAGGAGCTGCCGGGGCTCCTGCAACCTCCGCGAACCTCAGTGACAGTCCCCACAGGTTTTNTCAGGCAGGTTAGTTCCTCCCCAAGTGTCCCAGGTTCCTTTCAAGCTGCTGCCCTGCGCTGGGGCTCAGAGGGAGCGCATCTGAGTGAGTCCGTGCGCGGGCCCTTTAAGAGGAGCTGCCGGGGCTCCTGTAGCCTCCGAGAACCTCAGTGACAGTCCCCACAGGTTTTCGNGGCTCCTGCAACCTCCGCGAACCTCAGTGACAGTCCCCACAGGTTTTCAGTCCGAGGTTGTAGGAGCACTGGGCTGGGGGCCTGATGTGGGGCTGGGACCCCCTCACTCCTCCGGGAAACTGCCGCCACCGAGATATCCCTCCCAGGTTTAAACAGCAGCACCAGGTGTGGGCCCGCAGCTGCGTCTCCGGGATTCAGCCCAGATCCACCCTCGTCTCGGCCCCTCCTACCGGTCTCAGTGCTTCTTCAGTTCCCTGGTTGTAGGGCTTCTGTTCATCTAGATTTTAGGAGGTTCTGAGTGATGGCTGTTTTGTATTTTAGTTATAATATTGAAGTGGCGCGGGAGGCGGCCGGTACAGCTGCTACCTATGCCGCCATCTTGTTCCCTCTCTTTAACTCATTTATATTTAACAAACCTACAGAGCAATGAACTCAGTTNAGTGGCGCGGGAGGCGGCCGGTACAGCTGCTACCTATGCCGCCATCCTGTTCCCTCTCTTTAACTCATTTATATTTAACAAACCTACAGAGCAACGAACTCAGTCGCATAGTTACACTTTGCAACTAGTTTATGTTAGAAGTGTCATCAGATTATATTGCTTAAATCTATATGTTCTAGAGACTAAAATATTTTCCTTACGCTTTGTTCTGTCACACTTGAGGGGTTTAATTAGCCATTCTGTCTTGCATAGTAAATTGTGAATCTTACCTAGATAGAAGTTAAAAATTTTTATGTTTCCAATTTTTAAAAATTCAGCCTTGTCTAAAGTTGAAACCATAGGCCATAGATTACAATTAGCATTTCATGAAAAAATTTGAAAGAAGGAAATAACATTGCAAAGCATAGAACAAACCCTTATGGGTTGCTTATAGATTCGAGTAAAAGTTGGAACATAGTTACGTATCAGATATTATGAAGACACTAAGAAAGTAAGATAATTAGGTTGGAATGAAAGCCTATCAAGCCATATTTATTCTTATTCTAAACCTTATCGTTATAAAATTGGGTAGTTTGTAAAAAACTCTCCTGTTAGTTATAATTTATTACTTTGTAACTGTCAACCTTGAAACTATGTGCTTAATTGTTTAGGATGTAAAATTAAATTTATGCACTAAATGTTTATTTTATGGAAATTGAATTTTAATTTCTTTACCAACCATGTAATATTTAACCACTAGCAATGACTTCACTGATCTTACTAAAATTAACTTGACCAGTATTTTAAAATCCTTAAGATTCTTTTGGAGTTAGTATAAAGTAAATGCTTTCCTCTTTGCATCAATTGTGGTACAAGTAAAATAATGATTATAGCAGACACATTTTTGAACAACCACATAGAATCTCAACTTTTTCCATGCTATCCACCTCTGAGTTGATGGTCAAAGCATATGGATCTGTCATTACTGGCAACATAAAATATCTTCACTCCAAGGTCTTGTTGAAACCTCTGACCTCAAATTTTCTACTGCTTAATTCATATCAAACATTGTGTTTCAAGAATAACATGCTTGAAGGGTTATCAGAAGGAAATTATCCTTGTTTCAAACTGGGAATTCAAAGTTTCCACTTTATGAAGGCTCATGCGGTAAATTTTTCTGAAGTCTTAGTACTAGGAAAAAAATATGCCTCTCTTTTTATTTCAATCTCAAAAACACTATAAAACCCTCTGTTTTGGCTAATTTGTTACACTGTTCCACTATCCTATTTTTCCTCTCTTTAACATGATACCTATTGTCTCATTTACTTATTTTTGTCTGTGTTATAGTATGTATTTCCTGTATGATGCCTCAAATTCTCTGTAGAATAATCCTCGGTAGAATAATTCTCTGTATAAATAAGTAAGAATAAATAAATTTCAGACTAGAGAAAGGATCAATGCTTATCGGGTCAGAGAAGAAAAAAGAATCTATGACAGTAAACAAGTACTAGGATACCAGCAGAACATTTGAAAAGATTTTGAGTCATTGAAGCCAAAAGTATGTGTCCACCAAAACAAGTGCCAAAAAGCTCTGAAAGAAGGAACTGTTCTTCAACAATTTTTTCAATACAGCAAACACATAGGCTTTGTCCACAGAGCATGTAAGTCCGAGCTTACTTATGTTCCCTAAATAAGTGCCCTTTGTGCAGGGAGCACAAGAAAATACATATATTCCATGCCCTGTTAAGGTGTGAATTTAATTTCTACACTATACGGTTGATTACAGTGATCAACAAGAAACATACTGCCCAAGAACAAAATTGAAATGGATGTTCAAAGCTACAAGCCAACATCTGCTCTTTTGCGATTTTTCGGTCACTAAATGTGTTGGCTGTGCGTTATCTGGCTTTTCCGTTCAAAACTTCTACTGGGCTCTAGAAATAACTTTGCCAGTATACGTAAGTCCAGTAAATTTATTTCTACCTTCATAACAAGACTGGAACTGAAACTGAGGAACAGCTTGTGAAAAGCAGCCAAATTACTTCCCTGAACTCCTGTTTGCTATGGAAGTATTTTTAAACCTCTTACATTTGATGACTCTCTCCATAATCCTAAAAAGTGCTTTACAAACACTTTCTTGGATGTCAGATACAAAAGTTTATCCCTTTCAAGCTGCAGATAAGGACGGTGAGATATTGCCCAATACGTCTTGTCCCAGATTACATACTGGGGAAGTGGTAGAACCAGAACCAGGCTGTGGTCCCTGCCTCTGTTTGTTCTAGCTTCTGCTGAACTCCTGATCCCGTCAAAGGGGCAATACCCGAGGTGAGACAGCGTGCGCGTCCAACAGGAATAAACGCCACTGACACTTCCCGGGAATTCAAGATTTCAGAACCGTCTCGGGAAAACTCCGCGGAAGACAGGTTGTGTAGGTGTACAGGGCAGCCTTAAACTGGTGCCACCGGGAATCGTTTGCAAAACAGGAAGGTGCAGTAGGGTGTGCCGCGACTTAGTTAACCTGGCACTCCCCCACCTCCTTCCCAGCACCCCAATGTCAGGTTACTTCTGGCCCAGCGCCCTCAACGTCCTTTTTCCCGTGACCTGGGAGCGCTGCGTTCCCATCGCCCTCGCGCCCACCCTTCTCCCTCTACCCGTCACTAAGTTTACCTGACAAATCTCGGGGCTGTTTAGCGGAGGCCAGTCGGCCCACGAATGAACGCCAAGGGCGCCCCTAATCTCTGCGAGGGGGTAAGAGAGCCTGGGCCCTGACGAGACGCGCCCGGCCAGGCTGCCGTGTCCCGGCCAGGCCTCAGGGCGGCACTCTGGTCCCGCGGCCGGCGCGCTCGGGCGGGCCGCT